AGAGAGAGAGAGAAAATGTGCAAATAGAATCATGCTGGACATCAAGATATTGACTCAGTTAAAATTTTCCTTAAACAAAGGAAAAATTACTGAGTTTAATTTTTCTTTTATTGGATATTAGTTTAGGTAACTTGGAAACCACTTTACTAATAAGTGTTGGAGTCAAGATATAAAACATTTTAAGAGAGACTAGATAGGTGGCTCAGTTCATAAGAATGCTTGCTGCTCTTGAAGAGGATACAAATTCAGTTTCCAGCACCCACATGGTGGCTCAAAACCACCTGTAACTCCAAATCCAGGGGATTCAGCTACTCTTCTGGACTTCAAGGTAAATATACGTATACTCAGACACTCATATACATATAATTTTAAAATAATAAAAATAAACCTTTAAATATAATATAAAAATACTAAGTTTCTTAGTTTTGGCAATTTACATTTCTGGGTTTTGTATTATAAGCTGTGAAACTGACACAGATGTACTCTACAGTTTAAGAAGTTAGTTTGACATCGTGCCAGTCAGAATGGTTTTGGCTGCGTGTAATAAAAATTACCATGAACAGGTTTCAAAAGGAGTCAGCTTCCACCTATGACACAAAGTCTAGCTGGGTAATTCCTCAGCTCAGTGACATCATCCAAGGCCAGATTTCTTTCATCTTTCTGCTCTGCCACCTTTACTTTTTAGGTCTTATCCTTTAGTGTCTTTAAGACCATATAGTTTGAATGTCCTTGTATGCATTTTCTGTCTTTCAAAAGACTTTCCTTCACACCCTATTGTCCAGAACTGGTCATATCATATGCCCTTGCGTAAGCCAGTTAACACAGAGCTGTGTCCACTATCATTCATTCACTCAAACCAATGGAGACTGCATGGAGTCACAAAGGAAGGGAATGAAAACTGGGTACTTGGACAGAATTAGAGTGCTGTTTCCAAGGAAGAATGGAAGCATATCAGCAATACACATAACAACATTGGACACATTGAAATGTCCAAATTAAGAATGCCTAATATAGATTTTTTTTTTTTAAATCAGGGTTTTTCTATTTAGCCCTGGCTGTCCTGGAACTTATTCTGTAGATCAGACTGGCCTGGGACTTACAAAATCATCCACTTATCTCTGCCTCCCGAGTGGTGGGTGTGTATACCATCACTGCCCAGTGAAGGCTGTGTTCTTAGATTGTGTACATTCATTTTGTCCTCCATAGAAACCTGGTCACAGTCAATTCTACCTAGAGACTGAGATACAAGCACTCTTGAGATCTCAGTCACATGGCATGGTAGGAGCAAGAGAAAGAAAAGATTAGTTAGCACCAACTAGAGCCCCCAGAAAGTCCCCTACTAAGACCAAATTTAAGCAAAGATTTGACAAATGTAATATACATGAAACAATGTGGCAAGTGGCCAGAGCAAGCTGACTGGGTACAGTGCAGAGTCTTGAGGTGCTGACCCACAGAGACTTCTGGTTCTGAGGCATAGGTGGTGATGGGTTGGTGGAGAGTACAGTTGGTTGTTCATTTGGAAAGGAATTGGGAAACTCAGGTAAGGGCAGCAGTTTATGTAAGTCAAATGCTATGCTATAGCTTTGTTAATGTACTGAGAGTGCACATGACTTTGGCAGAAGGTAAGTGTAAACAACCATATGACTTCTATAAATGTAATATGAGCATTACTTATCAGTCTGTTACCATAGTTGAATGGTAGGAATACGGCTTCTGTAGTTCGTTCTCTCCTTCATTTTCCCCCTCTACCCTCATGTGGCTTTCCCTTCAAGTCTGTTCATCTGAGAGCTTTGGGTGAGCACTTACCCTGGCTCTCAACAACCCCACTTGAGCTCTGTTGTTCTTCATAGGGTTGGTTTCTGCTGGAAATTTTATTTAGGGCTTATTACATTTTTTAAGATTTTAATTTTATTTTTAATTATGTAGGTATGTGCACAAGAGTGCAGGTGCCCACAGAGGCCAGAAGAAGGGTTTTAGACCCCCTTGAGGTGGAATCACTGGCAGTTGTGAGCTACCTGATGTGGGTGCTGGGACCTGAAGCCAGGTCCCTTGGAAGAGCTATACATACTTTTAACCACTGGGCCTCTCTCTGCCCTGATCATGCTATATTATTTAAGAACATAATTATGATATTGTTGGTGTCCACTTAAGATTTGCTGCATCAGGGTTAGGAATGTGGCTCAGTGGTAGAGTGCTTGCCTGGCACGTGTGAAACCTTAGTTTAATTATCAACACTACCTCTGCCCACCCATCCTGCCCCCAAAGAGATTTGCTGGCTAAATTGATGAGACACTCCTTAGTACTCTTTCAGTTTTTCTCTAAATTTTTGTTCCTTGTTTTATTGGATAATGAGAGCTATGTTCTGTTTTCCTTTTTTGACTTGGCTACCAACATTACTAAATTAAATTTTGATTTCATTTACAATAACTATGCTTAGCTTGAAGTCTGCATCCTCACTTACTGTGGAGTTGTAAAGTATTTTAGGGCTGCAGATGTAGCTCAGTGGTGGGAAGTTGCTGAGTATATACAGAACCCTAGGCTTGATCTCCACATAAAGCTGGGCATGGTATACATTTCTGCAATTCCAGCACTTGGGAAGAAGATCTAGGAAAATCAGAAGTTCGTGGTCATTCTCAACTATTTAGGGAGTTTGAGGCCAGCCTGGACTCTCTGCCCTGTCTCAAAAAAAAAAAAAAAAAATGTTTTTTAATGATGCCTGATTTCAGTGTTATCTATTGTCAGTTGTCTCAAATCCTTATTGTAACAAATGAACAATGAATAATAGTGAGTGAACTGAGTAATGAGTAACAGAGAGAAAAGGCATACCAGGAACACCATGCTGTCAGGTTGAGTGAAATGATACTACTCTGGGTTGGAGAGTGGTAAATATTGGCTGCTCTTCTAGAGGACCTGAGTTCAAGTTTTAAAACCCACATGGTGGCTCACAACCATCTGTAACTCTAGTTCCAGAGGATCTGACACCCTCTTCTGGCCTCCATACACATGGTGCACAGACATCCATGCAGGCAAAACACTCTTATCCATAAAATAAAATAATGCTGTTGCTGCTGATGGTGGTGGTAGTGGTGGTGGTGATGATGATGTTTCTTTTTTGTAAATGTAATTGATCTCAGTACCTAAGACAGTGCCTGTAATATAGTACATGCTTAATAAATATTTTATAACTTAACAAATTAGGTTGGGATGTAACTTCATGGTAGAATGCACAAGGCTCTGAGTTTGATCCCTAGCACTGAATAAATTAAGGAATCAGGTAGGGTGACACAGCTCTGTACTCCCAGCATGTGGCAAGTAGAGCCAGAAGGATCAGGAGGTCAAGACCAGTCTTTGCTATATGGCAAGATTGAGGGCAGCCTGGAATATGTGAGACTGTCTTAAAAAAAAGCCAAAAAACTAATAATAATATAATGGGCTGGAAAGATGGCTTTGTGGTTAAGAGTGCCTGCTGCCCTTCTAATAGGCCTAAGTTGAGTTCCTAGCGCCCACAGCAGGTGGTTCACAACCTCCTGAGACTCCAGCTCCAGAGGATCTGATGCCTTTTTCTGGCCTAATACATGGTACGCATATATACATACACATGATCTTTTAATTTTAAGTTTAAATATAAAAATAATAAACTATGCTGCCTTACATCTATAAGAAGCTCAGCAGCACTGCCATTACTCTGAAGCCAGCTGGGCTACATCATGAGTTCCAGACCAACCCAAACTATAGTAAAGCCCTAACTATAGTAGTAATAACAATAAACTAGTAACCAATTAACTTAGCATGTATTTTCTTTACCATTTATTTTGATTTTAAGTCTCTGAATTATTAACCACTAATTTGGTTCTCATATGTTCAGTCTTTCTAGCCTGCAATTTCTCTTCCTTTTGTATTTCCAGACTTCTTTTATTTTCTTGTGCCTTTCTTCTAGACAAAGAACCTACTTGCTTTACCTACACAAACTCTTACGACAGGACTTAGGAATGTTGCCTCCTCTTTACTGGGACTCTTAGCTCTCATTCTCCTTTAACTAAACTAAATGACTCACAAACCCACAGATTTGTACCCAGAAGAATCATCTTGTCTCACTGGTTCATCTCTACTATGTTCAAAGAAGGGAAGTGTATTGCCCAAGGTCACACTATTAAGTGGAGCAGAGACCAAACTAGAACCCAACTCTGGATCTATAGTACACTCTATAGAATGAGAAAAGTAGAAGAGTATATCTTCTTTCTAATTGCAAATATCTTAAATGCAATATATTATAGGACTTAAATATCAAACAGCCTGTTTGATCTCAGCTATGTTTATTTTCTTTATTCTTTGAACAACTTTTTTTTTTTTTAAAGTCTCATGTGTCCCAAGTGTCCTTGAACTTGCTATGTAGTTGAAGATCACCTTGAACTTTTGGTCTTCCTGCCTCTTCTGAGAGCTAGGATTACAGGTCTCCACCACCCTGAGTTTAAACCAGTTAGGCAAGCACTTTACCAGCTGAGCTCCATCCCCAGCCTTGAGTATATTCTGTTTTTCTGTGCTGAAAATAGACTGTGGCTGAGTCATCACTGAGTCTGTGTTGATGTTAACAGGGCAGAGTAAGACTTAGAACCTCATGGAATGTATTAGGTCTACAGTGGTCAGCACTTGTCTATTTGAACTGCCATCTAAACTTCTTAAAGGCTAAGGATGATGCTTTATTAATTTTTATATCTAGAGAACATTAGCATATCTAACAAAGAGAAGTCTCAATGTATATCGTAGTCTGCCTTGAAGCTGACTGTGGAGTTCAAGCTGATTTTGAACACGAGAACTTTCTTCAGTCTCCCAAGTACTATGCTACAGGTGTGAGCCACCATGCCCAGCTCTGTGAGTGACTTTTAGTGGTTATATATGTCCACTGGAAAGTAAGGCATCATGCAGTATGCCATGATTTTATCTCTAGTCCTTCACTAAAGAGCTGAAATGTAAAGGATTTTTATTTTTTATTTTTTCTACAGGGGACATGGTCTCAAAATACCGAGAACCTTTGATCCATACATTCCTGCGGGGAGTGAAAGATCCAGATGCTATACACAGGGCCAGCAGCTTAGCCAACCTGGGAGAGCTGTGCCAGCACCTGGACTTCCTGCTGGGCCCCGTGGTTCATGAGGTGCTGTATGCTGACTCCATCCCCAGAATTTGTTTTGCTGAGACTGTGATAAAGTGTGGGATCTTGAGTCAGGAGATAGATGTGTGGTCTTGTTCCATCTGCTGCTGCCTCCCTCTGAGACTGGACCAGTCAGTTATTTAACCTCTCTAGGCTGTAGGCTGTCCTAGCATACTCCCTCTACTCAATTTAGTTCATTTTTGAATTTTATTTATTTTTAAATAGTATGTAAAGTAATGGGTTTCATTGTGAGATTTTTGCATACTTTTGTTAACCCATTGCCCCTTCCCCCGTCCCCGAAGCCTCTTCCTCCTTCATTCATCCCTCTTGTACATTCTATCATGTATATCTGTTGCTCCCTCTTTTTTCTTCTATTTTTCCTTTTCTGTACCCTCCCCAATACCTTTTTTTTTTTTTTTTACCTTTCATGGTCCTTCTAATTTCATGATTTCTACACACATGCACACACAGACAGGGAGAAAGAGAGATAAATACACATGCATGTATGTGCACACATGAACATACATGCACACACATACAGGAACACATATATAAAAATAAAATATCTGGAACTTGATCAGTAGGCCAGGCGACCTCGAACTCAGAGATTCACCTGCCTCTGCCTCCCCAGTGCTGGGACATCTAGACTGTGTCTGCTTCCTAGCTGTAGTGGATAGTAGAGCAATAAACATATATGTGCTAGTAGTCCCTTGGGGATCATATCAATTATTGATTTTTTATTAGTGTATATGTTTGATGTAATGACTCATTGCCTTTAATTTCCCTATTTGTTTAATATTGAAACAAATTGAAAGATATATATTGAAAGATTTCTTTCAGATTGAGCATCCCTCCAAAATCCAAAATGTTAATACCCTTTCAAACGCCTTTAATCCCAGCATTTGGGTGGCAGAAGCAAGTGTATCTCTGTGAAGCCAGCCTGGTCTACAGAGTGAGTTCCAGGACAGCTAGATCTGTAACACAGAGAAACTCTGACTCAAAACAAACAAACAAAAACAAACAAAATGTTAACGTCAAAACAATGTCACAACTAGAAAATTTTCTATACTATGAAACTTGGTACAATTCATAAAATTACATGAAATGTTGTATAGAACCAGGTGATCGTGGCACTTACCTTTAGTCCTAACACTCAGGAGTCAGAAACAGTAGAATCGATGAGTTTGAGGCCAGCCTAGTCTACAAAGCAGTTTCAGGACAGCCAGGATTACACAGAGAAACCCTGTCTTGGGGTGGTGGTGGGGGGTGGACTGAGGGTGGTGTATAGAATTACTTTCTGGCCAGATATGTAAAAGTTATATGAAATATAACTAAATTTCATATTTGGATAACATGTTATGTATATGCAAATTTTCCACAAAAAACTCTGGACTCCACAACAGTTTGGTCCCAAATATTTCAGAAGAGAGGCATGGAATCTGTCATTAGAATCTCCAGTTCTAAGTTCCTCACCTTTACTTAAAAACGATTAGGGCATTGTTATAAAGATTCTGATGCAGCTGTGGAAGGTGGGCTAGATTTGTGAGTTATTGTTTTGTTTTTGTTTTTGTTTTTGTTTTGAGGCTGAATTTCTCTTGTGTAGTTGATAGTATATCTTGTAGACAACAGGAAGTCAACTGAGACACTGGGCAGCATCCTGAGTATAGGAAACCTGAAAGTCTGCCTTCACAGTAATACACTTTCTCCAACAAGGCCTACTCCATACCTACTCCACAAAGCCACACCTCCTAATAGTGCCTGTCCCTATGAGATTATGGGGCCCAGTTACATTCAAACCACCAGTCTCTTGTCCTTTCTGGAGACACACCAATATGTTGACAAAAGCAAACTGCCAAGCCCTCTTGGAAATGGGAAACTAGGGCCCAGCTTTACCCTAGTTAACCAGTTCACCTGAGCTAATGATTTAGACTCTGAATTTAGTAGTATCTATTTGTTTAATCTTGAAAATGGGATTAAAATACCTACGATGTGGGATTGTTACAGTGATCTTTAGGTGATGTCTGTGCTTCATGTAATGATCTATTGAACAGTTTTTATTGTGAGCCTACTACATGCTCAAGCAGTTTTTTCCTAATACATCTTATTCATCAAAATACACAATGGTTGTTATCTTCACAGAGATGCTATTCTAAGAGGAGATGGACAGTAAAAAAAGTGCACAGTTGACTGATGGAACTGACTATCACTTGTTATCCTCTGACCTCTACATGTACACCATGGCATACAAGCATTTATGCACTATACACACACACACACACACACACGTAAAAACTATTTAAAATAAATAATAAATTGTTGAAAAGAATGTACATATTAATTAGTATACTGTGAGTTAAAAATAAATGTTCTGAAAAAAGTTACTTTTTTTCTTTGTGATGAAAAATACCTCCTAACAAAGCAACTGAGGGAGGGTTTATTCTGGCTCACAGTTCAAGGCTCACAGTGTGGGAGAGTCACTGCAGCAGGAGCATGAGGCAGCTGCAGCCAGGAAAGCAAAGGGAGAGTGCTTGTGCTCAGCTTGCTTTTATTCTCTGTTTTCCTTCTGTCTAGGGTCCCATCCAGAGAAATGGTGCCACCCACATGCAGGTCCTCTCAAGGAAGCTAATCCAGAAATTCCCTCACAAACAGGCCCAGAGTTTTGTTTCCATGGTGATTCTAAACTACCTCAAGTTGACAATAGTGATTAGCTATCACACCACAAAAGCTCTCACTAGGGAGATGATATTTGAGTATTATAAGCAATTTGTTTTTCTTTATTTACGCTTTTCACTAAGGAAGGCCTTGATCATTTGGAGTAGGCTGATGGTGACATTGATGGAGATGAGCAGCGAAGAAATGAAATCTCCAAACCCACCCCAGTGACACACTTTCTCCAGCCAGGCCACACACGCTCTAACAAGGCCACACTTCCATAGTGCCACTCCCTATGAGCCTGTGGGGACATTTTCATTCAAAGCCCACACATGGCTAGGCAGCTTCTCTCTGAATTTGATGTGTGGACATAGGATGCTGCCCCACTTTAAGCCTATACTTTTGAGCTACTTTTATTCCAAAACTTTTCCTGATTATTAATTAAATGCAAATGTCATCATTGTTATCCTGCTCCTGCTCTTCCTTCTCCTACAGTGCTGAAGATCAAATCCAGGGCTTTGCATAGACCTAGCCAGACATTCTACTACTGAGCTACATCCCCAAAGCTCAGAACCATTCTTCATTCACTTTCTCATACCCTCCAGTATCTATCATAGTTCTTGGCATGTAGCAGGTACTATGTTATCTGATTGATGGCAAATGCAGATGATGGTAAGGCTATCTGGAAAGACTAGTTCTACGTGTTTAAAAGATAGTCATAATAGCAAGCACTTAATGCCTTATATGCTTATATATGTCAACGAATCTAGTGCTAACAGAGGAAATGGAGGCATGGAAAGACTAAATAAGTTGCCAAGGTATGCAGGTAGCACGTGGCAAGACAGGGATTTGAATGTGGGTAGTTAGTTCCAGAATTTACTCCCTTTACTATGTTTTCTGTATTGTCTCATGATGTTTTTGGCCTTTGTGTCTTGAAACTGAAGTGTATTGCCATTTGCAAAAAGCCACAGTCAGGAAGGATCATGCAGCTCTTTCCTTAATAGGGCCTGATTTGGGCAGAAAAACTTCAGACAGCAATATATTCCCTCTGATTTGAAAAACTAGGTGTTCCCCTCGAATATAATTTCTGCCTCCTCCTTTTAAATGTCCTTATGTGGCATCCCATGCTTGCCTTGTCATCATTGCCAAATCAGGTACCTTAGGTGGACTACAAGTTCGAACATGCTTGGAGACCTGCCAGCTTTAGTGTTGTCATCCACTGAGCCCTTCTGTACTCAGACTATTTTACATGGAAAGAGTGGGGGATCTTTGATGTGTGTGTGGGAGAGGGGTGAGTATGAGCGTAACGGGGATTAAACCCAGAACCTTGTATATGCTAGGCAAGTATTCTCCCACTGAGCTGTATTCCCAGCCCTTGGTTTTTGAGACTGCTAGAACTTGGATTACAGATATGCTCCACTCTGATGCTAATCCTCATTATCAACTTGATAGGATTTAGAGCCTCTGAGAGATACATCTCTATTTTTGTCTATGAGGGTGTTTCTATGAGATTTATCTTAGAAGGGAAAGACCTACTATGAATGTGGTGGCACTCTCCCATGATGATGGGCCAGCACTCATCTGTCTCTGCTTCCTGACTGTGGAGGTAACATGAACTTGTTGTCTTCTGCTATGCCTTCTTGCTATGATAGTCTGCAGCCTTTCTTACACTGTGAGTCAAAGTAAATCCTTCTTCCCTTAGGTTGTTTTTGTCAACTATTTTGTCACAGCAAGAGAAATAACTAATACAGAAAATTGATACCAAGAAGTGGGGCCTTTGCTATAATAACCCTGAACATGTGGTTTATTGGACTGCTCAAAAACAACCATATAGGGAAGTACTTTCCAAGGTTCAGCTGCCAAGGCCACACAGAGGCCACTACAACTGAAATAGAAGGGGCATTCTGGGTCTCAGGCTGGCAGCAGTACTTGATGACATCACCCATATGTGCTGATTTTGCAGGCATGCAAAATGCGTGTTACCAGTCATGGGGGAATGCACCAAAGTTTCATAAAGTCACTGAAATCAAGCAGTGTGTGGCAGGGTTGGGTTCCCTGCCTGGAAAAAGACAGGCCCTTGCAAAAAATTGTGACAGGGAATCCTAAGTTGAAATGGAAACCCATGATGTTGGAGTTACCAGGACCATGGGCTATCCACCAAGGGAAGCTGAAGGCTCAGAGTAGAATCAGTTCAAGAGAGAGGCCATGTGTGCTGCATGTGATAGGACTGAAGGGTGGGAGCTTTCTGGGTCTATTGGAGCCCACATGATGTCACTAAGGGCCCCAAGATGCCAGATGGGAAGCTAGGGTTTAGTTCTATTCTGATAGGTCTCAGGTTTCTGAATATCCCC